ATGATCTTAAGGTCCTTTCCAACCTTCACTATTCTATGATTCTATGATTCCATGAAATTATCTGTTTTCAGTCACTACACAAATAAAACAATATGTTAAAGAAGCAGAAGACTTCAGACACTTTAATATATAGAGGCATTATGGAGATTCTGAGAAGCAGTTTATTACTTAATTTCAGGTAACATGGGATTTTTTTTTTTCATTATTGCATTGTGTTAATTTTCTCTCTAAATATCACTGTTTCTTACACAACTGTTTTCTGGCAAAAATTTTGATAGTAAGAAGCCTTCTGCTGCTTCTTTCTGCTTTCACTTTTTGAAGGAAAATAGCTGTTCCAATTCTATATTTTGATAAGACTTCCAAAAAACAACAGACTTTCTAGTCAAAAGTTTAAGGAACTTGCTAATTGCAAAAGTAGAGATTTCTCCACTACTGTTTAAGTTTGGCATAACAGCAAGACTTTGATTTATGTGCACAAAATAGGAATTACAAAATTCCTACCAGAACTATTCTGTTATTTTTAATGAAATTTTTTATTATCTTTTCTTTCCCTTATGGCCTTTTTAACCTGTGCTCCATAAAAAAGCAAGTTCTCTTTTACAGACAATTCATGTTGGAAATGTCAGGTAATCAGGACAAATATAAAATTATTTTTATGTGCTATGACTCCAAAATTAGTAAAAGCAGTATTTTTTTATTTTTTGTAAAATGACATAGATGGCGCTAGGATGACAGCCCTGGAGAATAAAGCAGTCTTTCTGTCCACTTTTTCTGTCCACAAAACTGTGGTTTCTTTAGCAGTGGGAGTTTCTCCAGCAGGTGCTGAAAAACTAATTGCACCTCAGATAGACCAAGCATGGGCATAGATGAAAATTCAGTAATTACCTTTAAGTTTTTCACCCCTATTACTATGAAAATGCCAGGACAGATTTTCAGAAGAGATCTTGAGATTTTTCAGAAGGGCATTTTTACTACTGTGCCATTTAACCATGGCTTCATCCTCCAGACCCCACAGAGTTTGAAGAACAAAATACAACTGACTTCCCTGGATTTTTGATCACTTATATGGGCACTCTTCATCTGGGAATTATCCTTACACAATTCTCTGGGACTGGTTCCCTCCCAGTAAAACACAAAGGACTGAAGCATATGCTTTCAGCAAGGAAAATAAGTCAGTAATGAACTGAGACCTATGAATCCTCCCCGCATTTCACTTTTTCCTTCTCACAGGCTCAAATGTTTACCAAATGAGGTATAAAACCCTGGGAAGAGCAAAGACATCAGATGAAGCAGTACGATACTCTTTGTCTCAAAATTCACAGATATGGTAACATTCAATATTTTTAAAGTTTTATACTGCTACTGCAATTATTCAGGAGCTCCAGAACATTTTGGGTTTTTTTTGGAGCTACCACCACATCTGAAGTCCTGCCTGATGTTTGCCAAAGGACTTTCAGTCTTCAGTCTCACTGATGACAAAGCACTGCACACTCATCCTTGATCGCTTCCCTCTTCTCTCTCCCATTCTTCCTTTTTCCTAAGAGATGTCAAGGATTCTCACAATTGTAGATCCTCACTATCAAATCAAACTAATTTTCAAGTTCTAATGTCCTCCTGGTTTTGAAAGCATTATAATCCTGAAAAGGTTAACTGGCATACCATTCATCCTGTAGGCACAAGCAAACATCAGTGAAATCATGTCCTTCACTTCTGATGGGAAAAAATGGGATTAAAAAGGAGTACCACTTCTCCATAAGCAACATTTCTTCAGTGGGGTGCACTGAGAAGTTAGCTACATAGGTCTGTAGCCCAAATCAATTCAGATTCGACTAGGTCTGATGAATGCTCAATGCCTATTTCACTCCAAGGAATCTATAGATCATCTCGTCTACTCCCTCTTCCTACCTCCAGCTCTGTCGCTGCCTTTTCTGACTCCAGCAAACACACAGCTACCAGGAATCCCTTCCCAACTCGTAACAAATAAACTATTAAAAATACCTATTAAAAAAAATGTCATTTTTTAGTTAAATAGAAGGAATCCATACAAATTTCTTCACATTAAGTGTTAAGAAATAGAGTAAAAGAGATCAGGAATACCATCTCAAGCCCACATAATTGCATCAATTCAGAATTAATTAAGTGAAAATGCCCAGATAATTCTGAGACTTTGGCCATACCTCCCAACCCGATCACCTGCAACCAGCACAAACCTTATGTTTGACTTAGGTGGAAAATAAACCAGGACTTTGTGACAATACCTCATGTGTGGTTTGAAACAGTTGCTAAGGTTTGACACAATGATAAGAAGGTGACGAGGTTTGGTGTCAGTGGCATAGGACGAAGCACATCTGGGGTAATAGCACTCAGATTTCAAAGGGGGGAAAAAACCAACAAAACTTCTCTATCTATCTATCTCATTCATTCATCAGATTTAAAAATCCAAGAAATTGTGTGCTGCAGAAATGGACTCTCAGAAACAAAGCTGAGTTTAACTTTTTTAATAATGAGAGAATGTATGATTCCCAGCTAGGAAAAATGTGAATTATCCATGGGTTTGGTAATGATAAACATCATCAGATGTAAAGATATTGTCTTCCCTACTACCTCAAAGGAAATATAATGCAAATTCAAAATTTCAGTAGGTGACTATTTTTGACATGAATACCCAAAAGGTGATCTGTGGTGCTGATAAATATCCTGCACTGATCACATGATTACTTGTGTTTGATTACACTGTTAAAACGTGCGGATAGACATAAGCACACACAAACCCCCGTGAATTTGTGTGCCACTTTAAAAAAGATGACAAGACAGACTGTTTTTCTCCTTATTAACCTTTCTGGATTGTAGTAGGTGGTAAAAATGACATAGAGGGAAAAAAAGGAAAGAATATTCCCTGTGCAACACAGGAGATAAATGCATCAGTGACAGAGGGGAAGCCTGTCCTTTTTCTTTTTGAAATAGTAGCCATCAGGACCAGGTAGATGAAGATACTAACTTGTATCAACTCCAACACTGATAAATTTCAAATAAACAAGATACCATACCCTGAGTCCCAGGCTGGCTCTGGGCTTCTGGTCAGTAAAACTGTGTGATTAATACTGTAAATGACTAGCACTGAAGGCTGAATTGTGACATTTTATAGACATTTAACAGACATTTAACATCTTGAGTTTCAGCCACAGCAATGTGATTTAGTGTCATTTTATCACAGGTAATTTCCTTGACATTCTTGAATTAACAATGCTACATCAAACAATTTACTCAGAGATTTAAAAGCTGCCATTATAGATAGATTTTATAGTGTAAAATTTGGACACTATGGATGAGAGATAGGAAGTTTCCAGAACGGATATAGCACTCAGATATTTTCCATTTCAATTTATTTTTCAGATTTTCAGACTGGTCTGTTTGGTTAAAGATTTTTGGGGTTCTTTTTTTCTTGCCATCACTGCACTGCTTAACATCACAGCGTGTGAAGCTGACATGCTGCTATTCTTAGCTAAGTTAGATCTGGAGGAAAACAAATCTCTGTAGCTTTCTAATTCATTTGAGAGGGGAGAAAAATAAAATCATTAAGACAAGAATACAAGCAAATCTTCAAAAAACAAAGATGATTAAATTGATTAATCTTCTTTTCTTTAAATGCTAGGTGCTGCTCTTATTGTTTGTGACACCATGATGAACTGTAATTAAATTCTGACAGCATGCCTTTCAATTTGACCTACTACTGAAAAAACACACAGAAACGATCTTTGCTACCAGGAACTCACATTTTTATATAAACACTGCATTCAGTATATGTTGCCTTCTATATTAATCTGCTACTTTGCCAAGGTACTTTCATTTTTGCGAAGTTGCTCTTTACTGTCTCATTTTCAGGACAGCATTTTTGCTCAAGTACGGATTAACATGAAGAACGTGCATTAGTTCCACTCTAATTAAACATACACTTAAATAGTTTATGGAACTGGAACTGTGGTAAATAATATATAAGTCAGGCTGAAACCTTGATTATGGTGATGCAAAAATAGCTGCATGTATAGAAAAAAATACCTTCCCATTGCACGCAATTCTCTTTCACATATATGTGGCCCAGTGCAGAAAATGAGACGATAAATCTTGAGAGATGGGAGGTCATATTGCTTCAGGCATGGATGGTGGAGAGGCAGAACTGTGCCCCAATTAGTACTGCCTGATGTCATATGTTCATGCCTCTCTTCTCTTTGCCTGGCTTGTGCACAGTGTGCAAGTAAAAGATCCACAGTCAGGACAATGAAGATTTCAGCAAATAAATTCAGGAATAATAAAATGGAATTTTGCAACTAGACTTTTGGAGCACTGTCCCTTGAGCAGGGCAGGAACCGCAGTGAAAGTCACACACAGCTCCTTCCTTACACCTTTCTCTGCTGGTGAAATATGGACTATGGAAGTCCTCCAGGGATAATTAGCTTTCTTGCAAATTTTGTTTTCCAGCACAGGAATCAGGCTGTTAACTAAGCCATAGTCACCCAACAAATTATACCACTGTGTTTTTCTTTGCAAACTGTACCTTTTTGTGTGGTCACTATGTAACCAATGGGTTTCCCTCTGAGAAAGGAAAGTACAGCATCATGAACTTACAAACAAGTCCTACACAAGACTGTTTTGCAGACGGCATGTGTGAGTAGTTTTCAAACAACATTTGCTTGCTTTAATTAAGAAGGATCCTGCTGGTGTGGCTGACAAATGAAAAGTGTATTAAAGTCTTCACAGTGTCTAATCTCCCACTTTACAGACCAGACAAATCTCAGGGTCCAAGTTCACCCTAAGGAGAAATCTAGATCAAGAAGACAAGAGGTGAGAGAGTATCTCTATAGCTTCACACTTCTTCTCCAAGGAGGCCACACCAAATCAGGATCTGGTACACGGGGATTAAAAAATCTCTGAGGTGGAGGGTGAAGATAAAGCAGGTAGACACTGGGAGCCTTTTAAAACAATATAAAGCGTGTTTCTGTTTAATATCCCTAGCTATGAAGTGACCTTGTAGCACCGTTCCTCGTGTATACCCCTTGCTTCATTGTCCTCCTTTAGCTAAGTGCAATTAGTTGCCTTTGTTTATATCTCTGAGTATCCAGGTTTTCTGTTGCAAACATTTTATCTGTAGTTCAGCTACTGTTTCTCTGTTGTTTCTTCTCTTACAGAACAGCTTGTTATCTGCATCTTAGTCCCCTTCAAAAGTCTTTTGCCCTGCATTGAAGGGATCACAGGGTTTACTGAATAGTTCAGTGCAGGTTAACAAAATTATAAAATAAGAAATACACCAACAATTTCATTACATTTGTCTGTGTGTCTTATAACATTTACTGAACCTGAGTAATACAAACCTGTGGTGTAGTGGTTTTGTGGAAATATAAAAGCATTGTAAAAACAAAGAGGTAAACTAGATATAAATGTACATTTGTTAGAGAAAGTTGTTAACAGAATTTCCTTTCAAGAGACTACACCTGTCAAATTGCCTCCTATAATTCCACTGGCATAGGATAGCGCACACTTTTTTAGGGGGAGCAGGGAAGCAAATACTAAAAAGATTTTGTTTAAAATATATAAAAAAAGAATTCTAAGTATGGTAAACAGTGTGGAAAAAATGTTGAAAAATCAAAATCAGTTAAAATTAAATAGAAATTAGAGGTGTAGAGGAACATGACAGAATCCAGATACATATTTTGGTAATGTAAGAAAGTAATTAGCAAAGGTTTGGCAGTTTTCTCAGATAATAAAACATCATGACAACTTCAGTAGTTTCCATTCCAAACATTCAGAAACTGTCATAGCTCCATCAAAAAAGCAAAAATGGATTATATTATTCAGAATTTGAAGAGCTAACAAAGAATATGATGTAGGAAGAGCAATATGTGGGCTAGCAAATGTAAATGATGATGGCAACTCCTTGCAAGCATAATTCATTTTCAGCTGGTATTCATGCTAGCAAAGTGGAACTGCATGGATGTCCATGGAAAATGAACAGCCAAGTTGACATCAAGATGGGTGAATGAATCAGTTTAAAAATCCATTGCAACATTCAAATCAATAATTTTAAGGAATGCGTTCTTCTGTGCCATGTTCTCCTTTGTTTTTTTTCTATTAAGGATACCATTATGTTTTTTGTAGTCATTATTCAGGTTAAGCCTGCCTGAATATGTCAGAAATATTTTAAGATCACAGCTTACACTGATACTTAGAAAGGACCACCACCTAGGAATGAATATTTATTAGATTTTATTCATTCAAAACCCAAAGGCAAGCTGAGCATGCTTCAGAAATCTAGTCTGTAGTTAGCAGCAACAATAACAACAAAACAAATCAGTAAGTATAGATTCTCAACTGAAAGAATTTCATAAACAATTTTGTAAGTATTCATTGCACCGAAGTATTGATGCATAATGGCTGGGAACTTAGTTGTCAGTTTCTTCTCTACACTGACGTCAACAAAAGGACAGATAACCTTATGGGCAGTTAGGTCTCATTTTATGATACACCTCAATGATATGTGGTAAATCCTGTTTTTCTGGATGGATTTCATAGAGAATCTCTCCAACTCATTATGTCTAATCACTTTACTAGGTCTACAGTTAACTCAAATGCATACTGTTCTTTGTCATTAAATAACAGAAAAGGCATTTCTTTAGAGATGCACCTAGAAAGTTTTGAACAAAGAAATCTTTCCTTCTTTGTGTAGGGCACCGGCCTGATAAGTGAGGAACAAGAGTCTTCAGTAGGCAAATTCTTCCATCCAAATATCTTTAAAAGAAAATGGAACTGCATCTAGTAAATAGCACTTCATAGTCTATTTAGCACTGGCAAATGAAAATAAAATAATGTCATATTCTTTAAGTATTTTCATGTCTCAAACAGGCACCAGAAGGTATAGACTGACAGTATCTGAAATATACTACACTGTTATTCATACAAAAGAAACCAAAACAAAGGGTGCTGTTCTTTTGGCGTTTGGTTTGCTTGTTTTTTTTCAAAGAAGATGAAAAAAACCAGAAAACATTAACTGTCTCAGACTCAACAGACATTTCAAGGTTTTAGAAGTCAGAATGAAAGTAGAGCAACTGTCAAAATGAGAAATCTAAAAGTTGATACTCCAATATCTGATAACAAATCAGCTCATCTTGAATAAATTCCAGAATAAAACCTCATCAGAGTGAGAATGTTTAGTGGGCAGCTGGTTAAGATCATGAAAATGCATTAAGCCACTGTAATCCTCGTTTAAGAATTATCTTACGGCATAATAAGACCCTAGAAATAAAACATATTGAAGCCCCTGCAATTAATTTGCACTCCAAATAAGATACTGTTCCATGTTAAAGACAAATTTCATATTGATTTCATATTTCTTACTGAATGAGGGAGGCTGTATAAGGAGAGAGAAGCAAGGAAATGTTTTCAAAAGCATTGCTCCTGCTCAGATTTCTGCTTGAAGCCAGTAAGACAACTCATGTGTGGAAGAGTAAACAACTGCATAATTCTTTTCAGGACCAAGACTGCACAGGCAAAACTAACAACTTTGATGACAGGCTTCGCAGAGAGGCCAAAAGCTGAATGAAGCATGAGCTGACCTCATGACCTTGGACTCAATGAACATCAACATGTTATCCATGGACTCAACCGAGCCTGTAGCTTATTCCTCTGTGGTCAAACAAAAGTGTATAGGAAAAACTGCTCCATGAAGGCTATGCTAGGTAGGTAGAATATCCAGTGGGGTTCTCACATGTGAATTAAAAGTTTGAAAAACCTGCTAGAAAGTCTCTATTCTTTCCAACTCAGAGCTACAGCACTTTGTTCAAAGGAACTTACGTAGCTAGTTCACCTCTGAATTGCTGAATGTAACATATTGTAATGACCAAAGCCTTATGGATATTTTTTTCAAATGAGATTTCAGCAGTACCACATCTTTAGTACAAAATAGTTTAACTAAAAGCTGCATTTAGCATGGTATAAGTTCAAGACCAATAGTTGTTTATTGTATTTTAAAATACGAATATGTTTTAATTAGATATTTATCTTTCATACAGATATTAAACTTCAGTAAGAACCAGACGTTTGTCTGGGATAAAGTTGCAAAGCTTACCTGAAGTAAAAGTATCTACTTCATATCATCTGGTCCTAAATGTTTCTGAAACTCTAATGACATTAAAATTACATACAGATAGCATGATATCTTTATTAATCTAATGACTATAATGTTCAAAAATACTGAAATTAGAAAGGTATCTAATCAAACACTGTTCTGTTTTTTACACCAAACAGTTATGTGATAAAATACGTATAATACTTAAATATTTCTTAGACCAGTGGCTGAAAATCAAGGAGCGGGGACAGATAAATGCCTTAACCACTCATGCCCATTCACTTTCACAGTGAATCTCTGAACACAAAAGAGAACAATGTTAGAAAGGATCAGACACAGCTGTAGTAAAAATGAGTGGAAAGGAATGGAGGGCTGAGGAAGGCCATCAGATTGGATGTGCACATCCAGGTAATGAGTTATTATATTTTTTCCC